CTAGCCACAATTTCATGGCATACAAGACTTAAATGTCTCACTGTGAAGTGGTCAGGTGTAGTTAGACCCATATCTACCCGTCAATTGTTTTGTTATAAAAACATCTGACCAAAGGCCGCTATGGTCAAACAAACAAAACAAAAAAAATCCTGGGCGTGGTGTGAGTCATGTCTGAATGTAAATTAGTCTAGTTTTTTTTTTAATGTCACGGTTCAGTCCATTGTATGTCCGTCCATATGCGACTTTAGTCTGAGCATGAACACGCATACAAACTAAAGACGTGTGCGCGCCAACATACTGACTAGAGTGTGAACAGAAGAGACCACCATAAAAACACAGTAAAGTTGAAGGCTATGAGCAATGGCCACAAGCTCGTCACAAGGAGAAAAAAACTTTTTGAACAGTATTCACTGGCGTGCGGGCGGGCGGGGCGGCGGCTGGTCTAAGCTGAGCACTCGGCCATTGTGTGACCAGCATTGTTGAGTTGGTCGACGTTGCGTAGTGTTGTGTGAGGACTGGCCCACCACCACCAGTAACAGATGGTGAGGTCACATCCCTACAGCAGTCACTGTAGCGGCAGTGGTGTGGGCCGGCCTGACTCACGCCTCTGTGTGTGTGTTGAGCAGGTCAGTCTAGTGTGCTCACGGATACCTGGGCCCATTGTCTGCCTGTATCAATGACGTCTTCTGGTGCATCAGTTACCACAGGCCAACGCAACTCATGCGTGACCAATTAGTGACAGATTGTATAATGTCGGCCTCATTGATCGAATACAACAAAAAAAAAAAACAGAATTTGTCGCATGTAACCAAATGTTGAAAGATTACAGCAGCACAAACATGACAACGGTTAACCTCAGCTCACAGGGCGCTGTGCTGGTGGGTGAGATAGGGATCAGAACCAGAAGTTTGTTCAATCATTCATATAGTGTCCAGCAATCGATACCCAAGGACGTGAAATATGTCCTAATTTACGCAGGCTAAGCCACGTCAAGCCAGGCCGCCCTAATTAACAAGGTCCACGCAACAAAGAGCCCAATGTAAGAGCCCGCCCGGCCAGCACATGCTGGAATCAATAGAGTCGCAGACACACGTCAGTGCCGGTCCGGTGCTCAGTCAGGCGTGGCGGGCCAACACAACAGCCTGGCCAATACGAGAAATCATGCGGCCAATTCCTACAATCATCTGATTAAACAATCCTCTAGTTGGGCTTTGTTGGACAATTAAAACAAAATGACACAGTCCGCATGGGCACCGACTCAAATAAGCTGTTATTAGCTAGACTTGAAGAACAAGCGGTACGCAGTCGTTAAGTTATTAATTCTACGGGTTAGCGCTTCCTCCATCTAATAAATTATGGCCCGAGATAACGATTTTACAACGCGCTCAAACATCAAATTAAATAGGGAAAACATTGCTGGTTCGATTCGCTTGTTGGCAGCTGGGGCTACTGTCAACGTGAGGAAACAAAACATTGGTCACACAACTGGTAGGTTCGATGGTTTATATCTGAGATGGGGTGTGGACATGACACAACTGGTAGGTTCATTGGTTTATATCTGAGGTGGGGTGTGGACATCACACAACTGGTAGGTTCGTTGGTCTATATCTGAGATGGGGTGTGGAGTGGACATGACATTAGTGTGAAGTGGACATGGCATTTGTGTGGAGTGGACATCACAAAACTAGTATTTTCGTTGCTTTATATCTGAGATTGGGTGTGGAGTGGACACGACAAAACTGGTAGGTTCGTTGGTTTATATCTAGGATGGGGTGTGGAGTGGACATGACATTTGTGTGGAGTGGACATGACAAAACTTGTAGGTTCGTTGGTTTATATCTAGGATGGGGTGTGGAGTGGACATGACATTTGTGTGGAGTGGACATGACAAAACTTGTAGGTTCGTTGGTTTATATCTGAGATGGGGTGTGGAGTGGACATGACATTTGTGTGGAGTGGACATGACAAAACTTGTAGGTTCGTTGGTTTATATCTGAGATGGGGTGTGGAGTGGACATGACATTTGTGTGGAGTGGACATGACAAAACTTGTAGGTTCGTTGGTTTATATCTGACATGGGGTGTGGAGTGGACATGACATTTGTGTGGAGTGGACATGACAAAACTAGTGGGTTCGCTGCTTTATATCTGAGATGGGGTGTGGACATGACCAAACAGATGAGCACTGAGATACCGTGAGCGAGTGGACATTCTGCTTGAGCTGGGTACCGTGATTGTTGATGTTCAACTGCTCACCGTGATTGTCATGTGATCGGTCACATGGTTTGTGGGCAAGAAACCGTCCAAGAGAGTTAGTTACGGGAAGGGAGGGCTTGGTGGTGAGGTGGATTTCGGCCAATGCAAGTATACTTCACACCAGTATTTCATGTGGTAGATAGACATACTTAATGCGGTCGATGGACGTGTACATCACGTGGTCGATGGACGAGTACATCATGTGGTCGATAGACGTGAACTTCATGTGGTCGATAGACGTGAACTTCATGTGGTCGATGAACGAGTACATCATGTGGTCGATGAACGAGTACATCATGTGGTCGATGAACGAGTACATTATGTGGTCGATGGACTTCATGTGGTCGATAGACGTTAACTTCATGTGGTCGATGATCGAGTACATCATGTGGTCGATGAACGAGTACATTATTTGGTCGATGGACGTGAACTTCATGTGGAGGATGGACGGCAAAGAGGTAGTGTTACCTGCGACAACTGGACGGTCGAAGACGAATCTACCATGGTGGTGAAATGGTGAGTAATGTGAATGCACGTGATGTAGGGTCTGTGGAAGTCAGCCAAGGAAGCAAGGAAATAATAGCATCGATTCAGCTTGAGCAAACTGAACCCATTTTAATTCTGTTGGTCGAAACTTAACGGATCTGCAAATGATTATGTTGGAAGATATTGGTTGGGGTGAGGGAGGAGGGGAGGGAGGGGGAGAGATTTGTAATGACAGTCAGTGGAGCTGGGGAATGATCTATAACTGCGCGGTAAATTCAATGTTTTCCCTCTGTACTTATCAATTAAGTTGCCACATCCCAAGTGTGATGAAATGTGAGGGAACGTACAAACGGCACCCGTGTCATTACCTAACGACATCCCTCCCAGCTAGCCCACCTTTTAATTGGCACCATGACAATTATAGACAGGCAACTTGGTCGGTGCCGGCTTAACGCTCTCCTTGACATTTGACTGGAACTTTCGACCAGAGACCTACTACAGGCAAACCAACGGACAAATCAAACCACCGTGGCCTTACTATATCTCAACTAAACAAATCATACTCTAGTGTGGTCTCTATCTGTGTCCGTACGATTCTATTGTCAGTCAGCTATTGATTATATGCTGCTACAAAGATGATTATCTTAGAGACCTACATTTACCTGTAGTAAGACTAAATCACCTGCGTTTACCAGCCAGCGCAAGATATCGGCTATTATTATTTGCAAAGCTTCGGGGCAAGTCGAGAATTTTTTTTCCCGGCATATAGGAAGCTGAAGACACAACATGTTGAGCATCATGCTACAGCAGGAGAATGGAAGAAATACTTAGGTTGGTACAGTAGGGGAATGGAAGAATTACATAGGTTGGTACAATAGGAGAATGGAAGAATTACTTACGTTGGTACAGTAGGAGAATGGAAGAATTACTTAGGTTGGTACAGTAGGAGAATGGAAGAATTACTTACGTTGGTACAGTAGGAGAATGGAAGAATTACTTAGGTTGGTACAGTAGGAGAATGGAAGAATTACATAGGTTGGAACAGTAGGAGAATGGAAGAATTACATAGGTTGGTACAGTAGGAGAATGGAAGAATTACATAGGTTGGAACAGTAGGAGAATGGAAGAATTACTTACGTTGGTACAGTAGGAGAATGGAAGAATTACTTACGTTGGTACAGTAGGAGAATGGAATAATTACTTAGGTTGGTACAGTAGGAGAATTGAAGAATTACTTAGGAGATAGGAAGAAATACCTAGGTTAATACGGTAGCAGAATGGAAGAATTACCTAGGTTGGTACAATAGGCGAATGGAAGAGTTACCCTTGCTACTACTGTAGCAGAATGGAAGAGTTACCCATGCTACTACTGTAGCAGAATTAAAGAGTTACCCATGGTACTACTGTAGCAGAATGAAAGAGCTACCCATGCTACTAGTGTAGCAGAAAGTTGCCCAGGTTGAATGGCCTGCGGGTGTTACTGTATGAAGCCAGCCCGTGAGAGAGCCAGTTTGCCAAACGATCGTGTATTGATAAACCTATTAACCGCTGCTTAGTTGGTCGCATGTGCAGAAGGTGGGTGAGTGACACTAGGGGACGGGCTCGGCTACAGCCTGACACCAGGCTCATACAGTCAACATAGACCAATCGATCCACGAGCCTAGTCCTAGGCCGCTCAGGACATTAGGACACGGACTGGAGGACATCAGCAGGACATGGACTGGACGATACAGGACTTTGGGACAATTTTGGGAGATCGATTATTATTATATATTACCTGGAATCCGCCTACGACTCACCTAATACATAGACACTCCCAGTAACACTTCACACACACAAAAAAAATAAGCCAGCCCTTTTAAGACAAGTTCACCATATGGCTAATACACTCCCAGGCCGTTCAAACTCCTCAAAAGACAATCAGCTCCTGACTAATTAGGTCAAACGGAACGAAACCTCTGAGCGCTTGTATTGGGCAGGACAGTTGGATTTGGCTTTGTTGGTCGCCACAAGGGTATGTGTTCAAAGGGAAAAGGTGGGGTGCGGAGGGGTGGGGTGGGGGTGGTTCACGTTATACCTGGCACAGTACCTCTCGATGGCCGTCTAGATGTGCGAGTTAAATGTCTATTAGAGCGCTGATTCAACTGTTTTAGACCTTCAACTGTTTCAGTAAGTCTAGGCCATCCCAGACCACCGTTTCACCTGACTAATGAATGACGTACAGCAGTACCACGTGGTTCCTGAATGCACACGTCATCTCTAAGGATCACGGGATTTCATGTATGGGTCTCGTTTGGTCTGGTTGAATGGCATTCTGGACTGGTTAAAGGGTATTCTGGACGGGTGAAATGGCACTCTGGACGGGTGAAAGGGCACTCTGGACGGGTGAAAGGGCATTCTGGACGGGTGAAAGGGCATTCTGGACTGGTTAGAGGGCATTCTGGAAGGGTGAAAGGGCATTCTGGACTGGTTAGAGGGCATTCTGGAAGGGTGAAAGGGCACTCTGGACGGGTGAAAGGGCATTCTGGACGGGTGAAAGGGCATTCTGGACTGGTTAGAGGGCATTCTGGAAGGGTGAAAGGGCACTCTGGACGGGTGAAAGGGCACTCTGGACGGGTGAAAGGGCATTCTGGACGGGTGAAAGGGCATTCTGGACTGGTTAGAGGGCATTCTGGAAGGGTGAAAGGGCATTCTGGACTGGTTAGAGGGCATTCTGGAAGGGTGAAAGGGCACTCTGGACGGGTGAAAGGGCATTCTGGACGGGTGAAAGGGCATTCTGGACTGGTTAGAGGGCATTCTGGAAGGGTGAAAGGGCATTCTGGACTGGTTAAAGGGCATTCTGGACTGGTTAGAGGGCATTCTGGACTGGTTATAGGGCATTCTGGACTGGTTATAGGGCATTCTGGACTGGTTAGAGGGCATTCTGGACTGGTTATAGGGCATTCTGGACTGGTTATAGGGCATTCTGGACTGGTTATAGGGCATTCTGGACTGGTTATAGGGCATTCTGGACTGGTTATAGGGCATTCTGGACGGGTGAAAGGGCATTCTGGACTGGTTAAAATATGAATTAAAAAGGCTGTAGGATGGACTAAAGTGCATTATAGACCGGTTAAAAGACATTATGAGTAAGCTATAAAAAAACTTTACAAAGAAACCCCCTCGACCCCACCACAAAGGTCAGTGATAGATAAATCAAAGGGAAATTCCAACCTAAGCACGTGCATTTCACGTGACATCCTTGTGGGGACGACAATTTCAACAGGAACTCGACCATTTTCTCTACTAACTTAACTGGCTCTTGCACGTTGCTAGGCAACACGGCACTGCCCGGGGTGGATTAGTGACATCAATCTAAATAACAGTCCTTCATGGGCAGTTGTTTTTTGTTTGTTTTATAACTCAGAACAACTGGACATTACATCTACACATTTTTTGTGTATAAAATCCCAACACGTAAACAGTGTCTATTTAACCCAATACAGTTGATATAACAAACGTAAACTTATGAAAAACAATAACTCAGGACCCGTTTCTGGGCACTGCACTATACAAGTACCGGCACATATAATGTTAGCTGGCATAGGTGAGTATATTACACAACACAGATATTAGAACCTGCTTCTGTAAATGGTGAGTGTAGCCGTGAATTTAACCATCACAAGTCTTAGGTTAGCTGTGAATTTAGCTACTAGCTTTAGTCTTTCTGTTAGCCATGACTTTAGCTAATACCTTTTAATTAGCCATGATTTTAGCTATTACTCTGAGGTTAGCCATGAATTTAGCTAATAACGTGAAACTAGCCTGTAAAAAAAAGTCTATCAAGATGCATGAGCCGTACGCGTGTATGTAACTGGTCAGACCTTCGAGTTCTCTAAACTATTGTATACCTTTATAGCGCTATACATCCTTAGTGTCTGGCCTTACCACAACTCACCCCACATCTAACCACGTAGCTCACCATCTACATTCTGATAGCCATAACACTAAAAAGGAAATGAGAACTTTCTTTAAAAAACAAAACCAACAGGCACCAGAATATAAGATAGCCAATAGAAAATGAACAGAAGATATCCAACTATCGTCTCATTTTCTTCCGAGATATCTAGAATTACCGTATTTAAAAGGAGAAAAAAAAGAATATACGAACAAGTTTTATTAATTAAAAAAGAAATCAATAACGCTAAGATAAATGAACTTGTCCCCTCATCAAATTAAACCACAGTCATTATCTAGACAGAAATTTATTTCAAATACCGGACTTAATGCTTTCGGTAAATTACGACGTTTAAATGAAAGAAAGGATTAAAATTATGAGACGACTGGAGTTATGGATATATGTAGGCTATGCATATATATATATATATATATATATATATATATATATATATATATATATATATATATATATATATATATATATATATATATATATATGCGCAGATTTATGTCTGTGTGATTGTGGTCCATTCCGGTAGCAAGGAAATAAAGTGTTAGGATAAAACTAAAACCAGATTAGTAGAGTATTATCACACTGACAGTGTTTAGGGGGGTGATGAAGTTATAGAAGCGAGTACCATGTCCAGTGTGATGTAGTGAAGAGGCCAGTGTGATGTAGTGACGTGTGATGTAGTGAAGAGACCAGTGTGATGTAGTGAAGAGACCAGTGTGATGTAGTGAAGAGACCAGTGTGATGTAGTGAAGAGACCAGTGTGATGTAGTGAAGAGACCAGTGTGATGTAGTGAAGAGACCAGCATGATATTGACTTGCCCATGTTCTGATGCACAATCACTGATTACATGCAATTAGGTGAGAGACGGCTGTGTGCAAATACTCGCCAAAACACAGATCTGTCAATTAACGCGTTTCGTGAGAACACGGAGGAAGGAGGGAGGGACGGAGGGAGGGAGGGGAGTCACCAGAGACAAGAGGGTAAAAATGATGTCAATGCGGATGGAGAGAAGGCAGATTGGAAAGGGTGAGGGCTGAAACAAGAGGACGGGGTTCAGATGGAAGTTTGAGATGGAAGATTTGCTTCCCTTATCTGGACAACATTAACGCTATCCATTCCTGGAGCTATACAGACGGGAGGTTCTGCATTTAGGGTGGTCAAGGTGCGTCTTAATTAATAAGTTGTATGGTGGACGTATTCAACAGTCAATGTAGACATGTGGCATGGTGTGAGTTGGAATAGGGAATAGTTGTATGGTGGAAGTATTCAACGGTCAATGTAGACATGTGGTATGGTGTGGGTAGGAATAGGGAATAGTTGTATGGTGGAAGTATTCAACAGTCAATGTAGACATGTGGTATGGTGTGGGTAGGAATAGGGAATAGTTGTATGGTGGAAGTATTCAACGGTCAATGTAGACATGTGGTATGGTGTGGGTAGGAATAGGGAATAGTTGTATGGTGGAAGTATTCAACAGTCAATGTAGACATGTGGCATGGTGTGAGTTGGAATAGGGAATAGTTGTATGGTGGAAGTATTCAACAGTCAATGTAGACATGTGGCATGGTGTGGGTTTGACTAGGGATTGAGTCGTTATACTCATAACAGTTTTTACCATTCTCCCCCCCCCCCCCCCAACTTCTTTACCAATACCTTTGTCTTGAATGCCGAGAATGTTCTATTGTTATATACTTTAAACTTTTGCAGATTAGGAACGAGGTACACCCTGTGGCGTTATCCCCCCACCCCGCTCTTCTACCCAGCGTTGGAGCCATTGTGAGAAGAGTTACACTACTCAACTGTTGATTGTGTTGATATTTTTATGTAGGTAATACACCTGGCTTAGGTAACAAAACGCTAGGCCTCGTGTCTAGCTGGGATGTTTGTCGAGGCTAGAACGACGCTAAGTCTTGACAAGACGACCGCTTATACAATGCATGTAGGGGACAATGGTAAGACCTAGACCTAGGTTGTGACTTTTATCTCAAGACTTTCTTGCAGTGAACCCAGACTTTGTGGAGATGTTCAGTTTTATTGTATTCAAAAAGGCTGGCTATGCCAACCAGAACAAGACACATGTCTATGTTTATAGTTGTACTAGTTATAGCACTGATATTAAAACTAGTTCGCCTTTCTATTTGACGATGATATATGTTAATTAAAATGGTTTAAATACACATCAGAACCATTCAATAGATGTGCATATAAACATCCGCGTCAACCAATAGACTCCACCCACCCTCCTGACAATCACGACTCCTTCCACCATCTCCAGACAACAGCATCTACCCCCCCTCCCAGACAATAGGGCTCCATCCATCCGACCCTCAACAACAGGGGATGCATCGTCCCCCCCCCCCCCCAGACATTAGGGGCTGCATCCACCTACCCGCCCCACTAAAACGTAATTCCCTAGTGTTTGCACATACGGCCAACATTTGTACACAAGTGCAACCTATTGTAAACAAATGATCCCAATCGAGGCTATCAGTAACTTGCCCACGTACACATCTGACGGCCAGCCCAGCTGGGGGTTACGGTGCCACATCCCCATCTAGTCCTGCTCTATGGCAAGCCTGGGTGATCCGGGCTCTGGCATCAAATGCAGGCTCATCCGACTAGTAAACACAGGATTAACACGTCCACACCTTGAGCTTATTGCCACTTCTTGTAATTTGACAGGGCCTTTCAATTAGCTCTGCTCGCCAGGAAATCAAGGAAGACGAGTGGGTGCATTGTGTATACAGGCCTGTCTGTATAAACAGTGCCCGCTACTTTGTTATGAGTTTACCTGCTCGGTCAAACAAGTTATCCCACGATTACCTGGTCGGTCAAACAAGTTATCCCACGATTACCTGCTCGGTCCAACAAGTTATCCCACGATTACCTGCTCGGTCCAACAAGTTATCCCACGATTACCTGCTCGGTCCAACAAGTTATCCCACGATTACCTGGTCGGTCCAACAAGTTATCCCACGATTACCTGCTCGGTCCAACAAGTTATCCCACGATTACCTGGTCGGTCCAACAAGTTATCCCACGATTACCTGGTCGGTCCAACAAGTTATCCCACGATTACCTGGTCGGTCCAACAAGTTATCCCACGATTACCCTGCTCGGTCCAACAAGTTATCCCACGATTACCTGCTCGGTCAAACAAGTTATCCCACGATTACCTGGCCGGTCCAACAAGTTATCCCACGATTACCTGGTCGGTCCAACAAGTTATCCCACGATTACCTGCTCGGTCCAACAAGTTATCCCACGATTACCTGGTCGGTCCAACAAGTTATCCCACGATTACCTGGTCGGTCCAACAAGTTATCCCACGATTACCTGGTCGGTCCAACATGTTATCCCACGATTACCTGCTCGGTCCAACAAGTTATCCCACGATTACCTGGTCGGTCCAACAAGTTATCCTACAATTACCTGGTCGGTCTAACAAGTTATCCCACGATTACCTGCTCGGTCCAACAAGTTATCCCACGATTACCTGGACGGTAAATCAACATATCCAACAGTTACCTAAATGGCCCAACAAGTTATCCAACAATTACCTTGTCTGTCCAGTATACATTAAAAAAAAATAACCTAATCAGTTCAAAATGTATCAATTATTTTTCTAGCAGCCGTTCCATCAATCTATCCAACTAATACCCTCGCGTATTCAACAATCTATCAAACGTCTCCCATCCCACAAATACCCATCTACCCCAACAAACCACAGCATGTGCACACGTTCGACTAGGGACCACCAGTGACAACACCGGGGGTCTCCAGATGCACAAACAGGCATGTTGCAGTCTCGCCCAGATCTGCAGGTCCCAGCATGGCGATCATATCTAGAGATCGAGCTCAATGGAAAGCTCTGATTTGCTCGAGTTTACCGCGTGTCAGACCTTCATTTACGTTGGCTTTCAGGAATAGAAGATGTCACCGAGACACTGACGCAACACGCTCAAAAAACTACTCGGCTTGCCCGTCAAATATTTCTCTACAGATTTCAGATCTTCTCAAACAATCAGACTTCTTCGTGTATATAAACTCCCCCCCCCCCCACGTAATCGCCAGCCATGTACAGTAAAGATAATT